CCAGCTCTGGGTTTATAAGAAGGGGTGCCCGTGGCTCTGCAAAGTGGGGCATTAGAATCCGGAGGAATAGAAACTAGACTCCAGGTCGACCCCACGGGGGACTGGCTTGTTTCAGAACTGAGAAATGCCTTCTTACCTCCGAGGTTTTAGAATATTTAACATCTCACACGGGCATTTGCGATTCCAACTGTTACCCACTGTGAAGGAGCGCGTTCTGTTTGTCTTCCTTCTTGAGATGCGTGTCCCTCGCGAGCGGCGTAACCCATCGCTGGAGAAAGGGGGGGGGGCACTGACATGTCGGCTCTTCCGTGTGGTGTAATGTTAGCGCCGCACTTTAGGCCCGAGGGGAGAGGAGCAGGCGGACCACCGTGTTACAGCGCTGTAAGGGCCGGGAATCTCCGCGCGTCAGAGGGCCGGTTACAGACGGGGCGTCATCGTCCGTCAGGGTCTGACCCTCGGCTGTGGCCGTGTCCTCACGTTCCGCTTCTGTCTTCCAGGTCTCTTTCATTCAGAACCTGGTGTTTTGTGTAGAGAGAGTTTACCGGGTGCCTGACTTCGGAGTCTGGGAGAGAGGCAGCAAATATAACAACGGCAGCACCGAGCTGCATTCCAGGTAACCTGGTTTCTGCGTGGTTTTTATTCAGTTAAATGTGTGAGTCTGAATATGAATCAAAATCAGAGTATTAGATGGGAACTGTGGCTTCTGTGTTAATTTTCACCTGCTTCCTTCCTCTTTGTGATGCAGATGAAATTCACTTACAATTAAAATCAGAGTCGGCTCCCCTGCCCCAGCAGCTGAGGGAGGAGCAGGCGGCCCCCAGCTCAGGTCAGAGCTGGCTGCCCCGGACCTGCCCTCCTCTCCGCAGGGCAGAGATGCTCTTTGAAAGTCAAGTCCAGGAACTGCCCGACCCCAGTGTGCATGCGCTGCATGGAGTCCCCCCCACGCCCACAGGGCCGAGCTTCACCCTAACCGGCAGGTCCAGACCTTCGGAATCCAGAGTAGCGTGGGCCTGTGAAGAGGTGCGAGCAGCCCGGAGCTGTTCTGTGTGGGTCTGAGTCAGCCGCAGTGGCTGCCGACTGCGGTTACTAGTGTATGAATTCCCTTTGTTAATAGTGTATGAATTCCCCCTGCTCCTTGGGGTGAGGGAAGTAGCTTTAGTGCCTGGTTGCACCTTTCAGACATTCCAGGAGGCGAGTTCAGTTCCCGCACGTGCCGGTTCACGGTGGGTTTGTAAATCACCTGGCCTGACCCATCCTCTTTTCAGAAAAGCGTTCATCTATCCCAGCGGTCACCAGCTGGCGGTCCGTGAGGTCTGAAAGCTTGGTGACCGCTGACCTGTACCACAAATCACTTTATTACAGACCGGCTCCCAAGCAAACCTCACTTTTCGTTGGCCCTCTTATATGAATGGTGAAGTCACGCGGGGCAAAAGTCACAGTGGTGTGTGCTCTGTTGGTACTGGTCACCTAATGTTAATATACCCCATAGCTAATGACAGAGTCACTTTCTCAGACTGCCCAGTGCTGGTAAACATTTCCAACTCTAGCAACAGCATGTATGGTATCTGCCATTAAAAAGATCACATTAGGCATCTGTCTTATTTTCTAAATGGCTTGCTGTCGCCAGAGACTTAAATATACAGCAGAAAATAAATTAACATATTTGTACATTTAAATTAAGTCCAATTATTTAACCGATTGCATGGGGAAAAGGATAGAGTGGGAAGAATTGAGCATCCCCGCTAGTCCGGGCGCAGTGTTTGTTTCTCGTGATGCTTTAATGAGGAGACGGTTTCCAAACCCACCCCCAGTGGGCTGTCTGCGCGAGGAGACAGACCTGGGCTCCTGCGTGTGTCTCCTCCAGCGCAGCTCCTCAGGCCGCGCCTGTGGATGAGGGTCACTCGCGCAGTCTGGTTAACGCGCACCTCGCGCTGCTGGCGGAGGCGGAGGGTTCTGTTATCAGCTCTGGGCGGGGAAAGCTGTGCGCTGGGGCCAGGGGGCTCCTAGGTCCCAGGGACAGGTTCCTAGGCCAGCACAGGAGCTGGCGGTGGATGTCTCCGCACGAGCCCCAGACCACACACCCGGGCTCCCCTGGTGCTCGGCCCGGAGCCCGGAGCCTGGAGCCCGTGCGGCTGCTGGCGGTCTCCCTGCTGCCTGCGAGGCTAGTGAGCCGCCGCTGCGTCGCTCTGGGTGTGCGTGACCGTCAGGGCCCGGCTGCGGTTCCTGCCCGCTCACTTGTTGCAGATGAGCCGCCGGCTGAGAGGCTGGGTGGCGCAGGACCCGGTGCACACTCGGCCACAGGTTTCTGAGACGCTGTTGTCCGAGAGTTCCTGTCTTGGGCCCTTGGCTGGGGAGCAGGCTTTTGCGGGGCCTTTCCGTTTTGTGCACCGACTGGCATTGCCCAGTTAGCGCTGCTTCACCTCCAGGCTGGAACATGCGAGGCAGCCCGCCTTCCCTCTTCCCGGGACCTTGTCTCCCTGCCTGTAACGCCGGGGACTTTTAGTTGCACTTAGAGAGGCATAGAGAGGGTTGTGTGCGCCCCTTCCCGGCCACGTAGGTTATGTTTCCCATCTCTTCACCATCCTGTGGTACAAATAGCGCTCCCCTGAGAGATGGCACATGAACACGCCATGGAAAGCGGGGGTCACAGCGACACGGATCGCTCAGAACGTGCTCAAGCACCTGCAGGACTTTCTGCCCTGAGCATGGCCGCTCCCAGGGAGGAGGGACGGGGCGGGGAGGGAGGAGGGGGAGGGGGAGAGGGAGAGTGGGAGGGGGAGGACTGGCTTTGCTGCCAGGCTCCGGGCCGGGCTGCTGCTCCCGCCCCGCTTTGTTAACTCTGCCTGGGAGACGTGCGGAAACGATGACAGATCATTAATTTTGTTCAGTATTCCCGGTGAACGCAGTTGCTTTCGGAAAACAGTTGCAGTAGGAAAATAAACGGGATACGAGGTCTAAAATGCTCAAAGGTTGCTATTTATAAGACGACAGTGTCCTATTTTTAATGACATTTGGGTCTCCCCGTTTTTGAGCACAATCGTGCGCGGCAGAGGCGCACACGTTGTGTTACAAAGAGGAGGACGTAGTGGCAGATGAGAGGCCTGCTGACCCGGCTTCCGGGGACCGAACACGCTGCCTGTTTACCGGCCCCGAGCACGATGCTCAGCTGGGCGCAGCTCACCATGCTCACCGCGCCCACCGCGCCCACCGCGCTCGGGTGTGTCTGACGCGAGGTCCTTTTCAGGCCCGATTGACGTCAGCACAGCCCTTTCGCGTTGGTCTGAACTGACGGAGCCCAGCCCGGCGGTGACTGTGCGCCGCTCACCCCAGCAGCCTCCTCCGCGCTCGCCCTTCCCTCCTGCGCCAGGGGCTGTCGGTGCTGCCGCGTTAAAGCTGCTCCCTCTGTCCTATGGCCATTTGTCCAGACCAAGGGGACCTTAGAAACATGCCCCCCAGAGGTCACTAACGATCGAACAGAAACATTAAAACAGCGACGTGTCATCCCGAGGCCTTCCAGACATTCTTCTTCTCCCGGAAGTTGTTCTAAGTGTTAATGGAGACACTGGCTTATGAATATTCATCAGGTGGTGCTCATTTTGTAGCCAGAGGTGTCAGAGTTACAGCGTGTTCCTTTTCCCTTGCAGCTCAGTTGGCTTAGCAAAGGCGGCTCTAGAAGCAATTAATGGATTCAACCTCTTTGGCAATCAGGTAAGAAAACATAGCAGCAGCAACAAACTTTGATTACATTTTTAATTACCTGTTTAATTAATTTGGCCACTCATTAGCCAAGTCATTCCTCAGTATCGCAGAATGTCTGAAATCTATGTCACGCGGTCGAACAGGCTGCCCTGGGACTTGCCAGTTAAATTTTAGTTTCCTAACTAAAGAACATTGCTTCATTTTAAAAATCTTTTAGTAAAGGATTCTCGTTATCTTTTTAAAAAAATATTTTTTTATTGATTTGAAAGAGAGAGGAAGGGAGAGGGAGAGATAGAAACATTGATTCGAGAGAAACATCGGTCGGTTGCCACCTGCATGCACCGGACTGGGAATCGAACTGGTGACCTCTCCGTTCATGGGTTGATGCTCAACCACTGAGCCACACCGGCCCAGCAGAATTCTCTTCATCTTTGTTCAATAACTTTTCCCTCAAATCTGCTGATGAGCTTTCACATTTAAGACATTTCTGGCATTAAATGCCGTGTATTTTCCACGTCAGTTCTCACATCGGTTTCTATGTGATGTACACCAACGTACAGCTCTGGGGAGGGGGACGTGTAACATATACAGCCACAGAATTGCAAGTTTGGGTCCTAGCTTAACCCTCCCCTGGCTGTGAATATGTCTAAATCTCATTTTCTTTGGGATAAGAGAGAAAACCCTGAGGGTTGCCTTACACGTTCAGAAGGTCAGTAACCAGTCCCTGCATGTAATCAAATAGCCTGGATCGAGCTGTTGATGGGAAGGAATGAAATGTAAGAATACTGCATCCTCCTCTAGGTCAGGAAATCACTCGTGTTCTTTAGCAATGTCCGTAAAGATTCCTAAGCTGGGCGGGCAAAGGAGGCTCCGGCTGATACTACAGTGAACCCCACGCTATTAAAATGCTAGGCCAGCACAGATGCACTGGAGGGAGTTAACGGAGGTGTAAAATGTGGCGGTTTCTGTCAGGGCGATGACAATACTGGGGACCCCAAGCGTTGAGTGTAAGAAAGTTCCTAGTGGTACCAGCAGTCTCCCCCTCCCCACGGACACCTCTTCCCTCCCTCCCACCTCCTCTGGGGGATGGACTCCCATCACACCCGGGACGGGAAGGATGAAGAGTGAGACCGACAGGAAGGGACCGGGACAAGGGGCGCAGCACGCATTCTGGGCGCTCTCAGGGCAGCCCTACGTCACCCACGGCCCACACTCGTCCTCTCCCGTGGGATGTGGGTGTGAGAGCCCGTGGAAAATCGCAAGCATTACTGCTGCGCCTCTCCCGGGGATGCCGGGGCTTCTCGGGGTCTCCGACCAGGTCCTTGGCCTCTACCCACACTCCTCTCCTCCCGAGGAGCCCAGCGCTCACGCAGCTTTCAGTCATTTCATTTCCTTTTCACCCTCCCTCTCCACACGTCATTTAACCGTGCGTGTGCGCGAGTGTGTGTGTGTGACAGAGAAACAGGAGGGTAGTGTGGCATACACAATGGCATTGAGCCCTGTTACAACAGCCAAGAAAGATGGGAGCACCTGGGGGCACTGACGGATGAATGGGTAAACGCATGCACGATAGACTAGGAGTCAGCCATAGGGAATAAAGTCTGGACAGCTCCATCAGCATGGGCATGCCTCGAGGGAATTATGGTAAATGAAATGAATCAGAGAAAAAGGACAAATACTGTATGATGTCACTGATGTGTGGGATGTAAATAAACAGCAGCACAAGGTCGTAGGTACGGGGAACTGATCGGTGTTGCCAGAGGTGGGGGAGGGCAAAACTGGTGCAGAGGGTCAGAGGCAGAAACTCCCGGTGAGGACACAGGAGTCGGGGAGGGGGCGCGGTCCGTTCCCTAGAGCACTGTCGGGGAACCTCTGCGTGGGCAAGTCTAGCTGTGGGTCTTCAAATACGCTCGCGAGCTGGAGGCAGGTGCCAGGCAGAGTTGTGGTGACTGAGGAGGTGGAAGATGGAAAGCTGCCCAGAGGCACAGACACTCTGGCTGGCACGTCCTCAGAGAACATTCTTCCTTCTCCCGTCTTCACGGGAGAAGTCACCGTGCGACCTAGTGAGGCCCCGTCTGAACCTGAGGAGAGATCGCTCAGGCTATGCAGAGTGCTCAAAGCAAGGCATCCAGCCTCCCTCCCTTTGGACGCTGCCGCCTGAAGCGAATGTGTCTGATCCTCTACAGCAGGTGATAATTAATCCCATCTGTACGTCCTCCTCAAGGATGGTTTTGAAAATCGCTTCTGAATACGAATAGCTGCCTATGGCCCTGGGTGATTTTTATCCTCCTGTAAATCTGGACCATATGCCTAGAGCATGGCCTGGGTGGTTTTTTTTTTTTTTAAGATTTTAAAATTGATTTTGAGAGCGAAAGGGAGAGGGTGAAAGAGCAAGAAACATCCATGTGAGAATGAAACATTGATTGGCTGCCTCCTGCACGCCCCCTACTGGGGATGGAGCCCGCAACCCAGGCCTGTGCCCTGACCGGGAATCTAACCGGCAACTTTTTGGTGCTCAGAACGACGCCCAGCCATCCGAGCCTCAGCAGGCAGGGCAGGCTGGTCCGTTTGTAAGAGGACAGGAACCGTGTCGCTGACCGGCCTCTGCCCGGTGAGAACTGTGGTGAGAGCAGGAGCCTGGCCCCCTGCACACCTTCCTAGGAGGCTGGGAGAGCGGAGGCCTGGACAAGGAGGCCGTTTGTTTTTTGGCAGAAAATAGCAGGTGACTGTTTATATTAATCAAATTGAGCAAGAATTGCCAAAGCTACCATTCGCTTCATTCCTTATAAATTAGCCAACTTAGGTTGTGCCTTTAAAATTTCAACTCGGGGCAGACTTGCATGATGTGGCATGCAGGTAACTTCCCTAATGATCAGCCTAAGCGTACATGGTAAGTCTTATTGCTTTCTCTACTCACAGGCTAACTAATATTGGCATTTTATTAGACTAAATATCTTTAATTGATTAGTCATCAATATATTTAGATTTATAAGAAAATATAGGAGAAATAGGGAAATAGGAAGATAACATTTGTTATGATTACAAAGCTAATATGTATTGTAGGGTATTTGAGGAGACCTGACTGTACTGAAGAGAAAATTAAAATCTTCTGTCATAGAGCCGCGCTCACATGCGGCCCGTGCTGTTGGTTTTGGGTGAAGTTTCTTTACAGTTCAAATGCCCGGCTCCGTACAAGTCCCGTCTCTCTTGTTCCAGGGCTGCTCGTGGTCGGTCATATTTGTGGATCTCGATGCTCATAATCGCAACAGGCAGACTCTGTGCTCCCTGCTGCCCCGGGAGTCGCGATCTCACGTGAGCACCTTTACCGTGAATTAGATGCCGTTTGTGATGTCGCCTCTGGGTAACTTCCACATGCCGGGAGGAGACCTCCTCAGGGTTTTCTGGCAGTTGCTTGTGGCTCTGTGTTTTAGAAGACACCCCAAGTGAGAGTATTTAATTATTTAAAAACAACTATTGTATAGAAGAAGTAGCACAAGATTTTGATAAAAGTAAAACCCACAAAGACAAATAATATCATCTCATTCCTGCACCCCCCGATTTTCATCGTAGGCGGCACACTCATGTTTGTGGGTTTCCGCATGGTCGATGTACATATACAATATTTTCACTTTACAAAACTGGGAGATATTCTTAATAATGCTCCGTAACGGAGTTCTATGAACGGACATGCTTCCATATTTAAAAAAATGGTTTCCACAGTATACATTTTTTTAAAAAATATATTTTACAGAGAGGAAGGGAGAGGGATAGAGAGTTAGAAACATCAATGAGAGAGAAACATCTATCAGCTGCCTCCTGCACACTCCCTACTGGGGATGTGCCTGCAGCCACGGTACATGCCCTTGACCAGAATCGAACCCGGGACCCTTGAGTCCGCAGGCCGATGCTCTATCCACTGAGCCAAACTGGTCAGGGCCACAGTATACATTTTAATGGCTGCTAATATACTCTCCTAGTTGTTGGACATTTTGATTATTCTGTTTTTCGCGATTATAAATAAGTTGTTATGACAAACTAAGTTGTAAGGACTAATTAATTATCAGTGTGAAATTTCACACACTGCCTTAGTGAAGATCTCAAGCCTGAGGTCATGTTGAGCCCTGAGAAGACTTACTCATGGAGAAGATTATCTCCTCTGAGGCCCACTGCCCCAGGCCACGTGGACACCCCTGTCCCCGGGGCGCACCTCGTTGGCGCCGGTCCCTGCCAATTCCCGACTCCCTGGGTCTCCGCGGGCTGTCGGCCATGTCGCTGTAGGTCTACCGCCCCCTCTTCTCGTCCCCAGAATACGGACGCCGCCCTGCTCCCCTGCATCAGCTACCCTGCCTTCGCGCTGGATGACGAAGCTCTGTTCAGCCAGACGCTCGACAAGGTGGTTCGGAAGCTGAAAGGGAAATACGGCTTCAAGCGTTTCCTGAGAGACGGGTACAGGACGTCCCTGGAGGATCCCCACAGACGCTACTACAAACCGGCGGAGATTAAGGTACCGGGAATGCCACCCCGGTGCCGGCGGCTCAGAAGTGCGGCCTGGGCTTGTGTCCGGCTCGGCCGCTACCAGGGGGCGAGACAAGGAGCCTCCTCGCACGTCCTCTGCGCCGCTGTGTGGAGGAGGAAGTTAAATCCCTGGGTGCGTGGGGAGGCGCCCCCGCTCCCTCACAGGGGAGGCCTGCAGGCAACATGTGAACCCCCTTTCTCCAAACCCCTCTCTGACCCTGGCAGACTCGGGGGTTCGTCCCTGTTCCTGACACACGTGGACGGACATCTCAGAGGGCGGCAGGCGCTGCCTCCTCGCCGCCTCCCTGTGGGCTGGGCCCTCGAGGGAGCGCGTCTGTGTTCTCAGCTCTCGTCCCGCTGATGCCGCGCACGGGCGGTGCTAAGTCCCCGTGAACATTGATGGAGCAAAGGCCCGCTGAGCGATGGTGAAGCACATGAGCTCTTGAATGAGTCCAGAGGATTTAAAAAAACAACACCGAAACTGCTGCTCAGATCAGCCCCGTTTTGTTATACAATAAGTCACTCCTTTTGCGTATCCCACGGTGATTGTGATTGCTACATCGCCCTGCACTGTGATTGTCCCCGCTAATTGTTCACGACGTTTCCGTATTTTATTTTCTGTTCTAGCTGTTCGATGGCATCGAATGTGAATTCCCCATATTTTTCCTGTACATGATCATCGACGGTGAGTGAGCGTCCCCGCGCTGAGCTGCGGGCTGGGTGTGTCGGGAGGCGCAGGCACGAGATGCCACCGCGTCCAGCCGCTCAGACGGCGCCTGTGCCATCTCGGCATTTTACGCTCTCCCGCTCCCGGCGCAATGCTAAGTCACTTAGAGAATTAGAACCACGCTGTGAATTATTATTTTTAAAAAGATATTTTTATTGATTTCAGAGAGGAAGGGAGAGGGAGAGAGATAGAAACATAAATGATCCTTACACTGGGGACTGAACCCGCAACCCAGGCACGTGCCCTGACCGGGAATCGAACCGCGACCTCCTGATTCATGGGTTGATGTTCGACCACTGAGCCACGCTGGCCGGGCTGAATTATTTTTAAAATGATACAGCTCTATTTTCATATTTAGAAAGAAGAAAGTTTCATGCGTAGAAACCACGAATGCTATAATCTGTGACACTGAATATCTCTAACATTCACACTGAAGAATCGAGAAATTTCAATTAATAATCAGTTTTCAATCCTAAATGCTAACATGGCCTTCTGAAATTGATTTCCTGGAAAACTATCACACATTTTCATTACCTTTTTTAAAATTTATGTTTATCATTTACCTAGATAATTACCAGAATAGTTGTAGGTGGGCCGGTGGCTCTGCGGGGAGTCCCCGCGTGCTCTCTGAGCGGCGCTGTGCTGTGTTCTGCGTTGCAGGGGTTTTCCGAGGCCACGCCGCGCAGGTGAAGGAGTACCAGGACCTGCTGGCGCCCGTGCTGCACCGGACCACGGAAGGTAGGCTGCGGCTGCTGCAGGCGCTCCTCCCGAGGGCTCCCGGAGGCGCCTTCCACATGTGCATGATTCCTCTTAGAGCAGTTGCTGTCAGACTGAAGGAAACGAGGGGTCCTTGAATGAGTTAGAAAGAGCAATCTATTCACTTGTCACAAATGTGTCTTCTGAACGGAGTGCATGTGGCACGGCCGGGATGGGGGGGTTCAGGGGGTCGTGGCTGCAGCCACTGCAGGATGCAGGCCGGGCGGCGGGTCCTCCTCTGCCACCCGCTGTAGCTCCTTTGCTCTGTGCTGGCGTGACAGGAAGGACTGGTTTAATCCTCACCAGAGGATATTTTTTCACTGATTTTTAGAGAGAGCAAAGGGGGGGAGAGGGAGAGAAGCATTGATGTGAGAGAGAGACATTGGTTGGTTGCTCCCATACACGCCCCAGCCAGGCTGGGGATGGAACCTGAAACGGAGGTATCTGCCCTTGACCGGGAAGCGAGCCTGCGCCGCCTCAGTCTGGGGGCTGCGCTCTCACCACTGAGCCCCCAGCCAGGGCGGACGTGACGGACCTGCATCAGGGCCCAGGGAAGGGCGGGTCGGAGTCTCTGTGTGAGACAGAACTCATTCTCAGAGGAATTGCAAAGGTGAAGTTCCAGCCCGGCCGGCGGGGCTCAGTGGTCGCGCTGACCGAGGAAGCAGTGCAGGACGGACCCTCGTGTGTGTGTCAGACACACGTCAGTCCTGCCCGACGCAGGGGCCGGAGCGTTAGGGAAACCTGTGCGATCTCATTAGGAGACGAGTTCCCCACGGCTGACGGCTGACGTGCAGCAGCTCAGAGTGCTGTCTCCCTGTGGCACCCAGACTCCGGCCTTCACACAGTAACACTTAGCTCCCCCGAGGAGCAGGTCTGACCAGGCGGCCAGGGAAGGTGTGGTGCGGGGGTGCTGGGCCCATGCAGGAAACGGAGTCTCTGCTCTCAGCCGGGCTCCGGGTCTGACCCCCCCGCACCAGGTCCCCGGTGTGAGCTTCCCCGACCCCCTCCCTCTAACACTGGCTTCCTCACCACCTTCCAGCACTGCATCGTGCCGCCGTGGGTGCACTTCCAGGCGCCACAGGCAGTGTTGGCGGAAGCGTGACCTGAGCGTGGAATCGGGGTCCTCAGTTCTTCCCGGGCAGCTTCTGAAAGGGGCCCCCCAGCCGCTTCCCGTAGCCCGTGGGGCCCGTCACCTCCTGCACAAGCCTCGTCACGCTGTGCTTCCTAACGGTCACTCTCGCACCCCCAGGCCACCCCGTCGTCCCCAAGTACTATTATGTGCCGGCCGACTTCGTGGACCTCGAGAAGAGAAACCCCGGCAGCCAGAAGCGCTTCCCCAGCAACTGTGGCCGTGATGGGAAGCTGTTCCTCTGGGGCCAAGCCCTGTACATCATCGCCAAGCTGCTGAGTGAGTGGGGACGGCGGGTGGCTGCCCGGGTCTTCGCGCCCAGACAGTGTGTGTCCGCGGCCATGTCTCTCGGGTCTCGGGTGGGTGCGGTGCGGAGGTCGGGGAGCTGCTTCGTCTGCACAGGCCTATGAATGCGCCTCTCTCACTGCGTGCCGATGGGCAGTTTCTGGAAGGTGTCAAGTAGGCGTGGGCTGCGCCGATCTCAGGGCTCCAGGGGCGTGTGGGGCTCCAGCAGAAGCTGTGGGAGCGCCGATGCGCTTCATAGAATAGAATGACATCCCCGTCTCATGTGATGGCCACCTGGGGTCAGAGCTCTAGCCAGCTGCTTGCCAAAAGGGATGGGCTATCTCCAAGTGCCTTCTTCCCAATGAACCCATGTACTGGTTGTCAGCCCTGAGGCTCAGACGAGCCCTCCCCCTGCCCAGGCCACGCAGCCATGACCACGGGACTTTATGGGTTTGGTCAGGGCCTCAGGGTGAGCGTGTCACCCGGAGCCTCTGTGGCATTAGCTATGCTCATTAAACAGACATACTTTGGTAACTTAGTAAGATGTGACTTTGTATTCTGCTTCATTTACATGCTGATGATTAAAAAACCTATTTCTTAGTCATATCTCTGTCCTCTGTAAAGTGTCTCGTTAATTCGCTCTGCCCATTTAACCTTGGTTTTATGTTTTTTTTCTCAGTCTGCATAGTGTTTTATATATTACGTGTATTAAACCTCTCTTGCATTTTCCTAGTTTATCTTTTTAAGAAATATGTATTTTTATTGATGTCAGAGAGGAAGGGAAAGGGAGAGAGAGATAGAAATATCAATGATGAGAGGAATCATTGATCGGCTGCCTGCTGCACGCCTCACACTGGGGATCGAGCCTGCAACCCGGACATGTGCCCTGACCGGGAATCAACCCATGACCTCCTGGTTCATAGGTTGATGCTCAACCACTGACCTACACCAGCCAGGCTCTGTGAAATGTTTTTTAAATTGTCATTTCATTAAAGAAACAAAACTTATTCTCCATACATCTTCTTACCCTCAACAATGATGGTTTGAGCTGAACTCAGGGTCCATTTCATAAACCTTTCTGTGCATTAAAAGGCAAATATGAACGGCCCCCCCACCCGCTGAGGGTTGAAAGCGGCTGCCATGTTTGTGGAAACACTTGGCTGTTGGAGGGTGGCCCTGTGCGGGGAGCTGCAGCCACCTCCCCATCCTGTGCTGGATTGGGTGTGCTCCTGCAGGCTGGCCCTCTCCCAGGGAATGGTGCCAGGTGCCACGGAGCTGGCACCTCCGGGGCTCGGCTGTGCTTCCCGAGTGACAGAAACCAGTGCAGTGAGAAACAAACACAACCATTCCTTAACCTTTAAGGTCTGAGCCGTGTTTACCGCTGTGGCCACGAGAGCGACGACAGCAAGTAACGTTTCTAACCTGCTCCCGCGCCCGTTTGTCATTTTGCTTATTGATTCCCCTGAGGGCCTGCTCCATGCCAGGTGGGAGGGGCGGCGGCAGAGGCGAGCGCCTGGAGGGAGGCTCGTGAGCAGCGAGCCAGGCCCGCAGGTGCAGCGCGGAGCACGTGAGAAAAACACGCCAGGAAGTCAGCGCTTTCAAAGGCCTCGGCAACTGCTTCATTCGTGTCAGTGTTCGCAGACTGGCCCTTATGCTTTCCCAGGATATAACGTCTTTATCTGTCGTCCTTTCTCGCTAACAAAATAATAAGGTAGAGCTTCGTTTCCGTGGCTGGCGGCGAAACATTAATTATGTAAAATGCTGATGGTCGTGGGAGCTTTCCACATCCCAATGATCAGACAAATGAGACCGGGAAATAATTTACTGCTATTTAGACTATCACGGCACTAATCAACCCTGCCTCACGAGCTAAACTGCTATTAATAAGTGGAAATGACAGGTCGATATTTGCCTTCATTAAGCCTCTATTGCTTCCACTTAAATTTTGTAAAAGTACGCGCGAGAATGTTCTGGCATGTGCTCCCTGGTGTGGGCGGGACACTACCACCTCGTAGGTCTGACTTATCTGTTTGTGGCCTCCTCCTGGCGTCTTCCCATCAGGTGTAGAGAAAGTGACTGCTCTTAAAAGGCAAGGTTCCCCGTGGTTCAGGGCCCAGGCCCGGGAGAGCCTGCCTGTGTGAGCTGAGCTCTGCCACTTGCCAGTGCGGGTGCGAGGTGCTTGGCCACAGGGCGCCTCCGATTCGTCGCCTGCGAAGGATGAGGGTGTTGTGAGATGTATGACCTGGTGCCGTGGCTGCCGCTGCTCCTCCCTCCCCTCCGTCCTCTGTTATTGTCGCTCATTGTTGAAGACCTCTCCCAATGTCCCTAGAAACGCCGTGGCGACCTGTGTAAAGGGTAGCGTTGCCATGTGCCTGGACGTTGCCCAGCTTAGAGATACCGTGAGAAACGCTCCCCAAGCTGCAAGAAACGGGCCCACGTTTTTGTGGCAGACTCCCGCCCTGTTTTCCAGACCTGGTCACTGCTAAGGAAACGAGGTGCAAGTCCTTTTTAAGTAGACATTAAACGCGGTGAATTTAGACAAGTCAGCAGGCTGTTGTTTTTACATGATTGCTGTAGAACGGAAGATCAAGAGTAAATGAGCTCGTTTTCATAGCTTCCCTGCAGTGAAAGTGAAAACAGGGCCAACTCACTTTAGAGGTAGGGCCTAGCCCGGCCAGTGTGGCTCAGTGGTTGAGCATCCACCTATGAACCAGGTGGTCCGATTCCTGGTCAGGCATATGTCTGGGTTTCAGGCTCGAGTTCCAATAGGGGGTGTGCAGGAGGCAGCTGATCAATGATTCTCTCTCATCATTGATGTTCTGTCTCTCTCTCCCTCTCCCTTAGTCTCTGAAGTCAATAAAAAAATATATAAAAAAAGAAGTAGGGTCTTTATTTATATTATTCAATTAACTTTCACATGTGTGAGCAAAACACTAAGATAACTATGGCTATGGTGGCCATTTTTAAATTGGGTTGTTTGTCTTTTATTACTGAGTTGTAAGCATTCTTTATGTTTTCAAGGAACAAGTCCCTACAAGATCTATGGCTTGCAAATATATTCTCCTCTTTTGTGGGCTGTCAATTTGACCTTCTTGATGGTGTCCTTTGAGAAACAAAGGTTATAATGTGACCAAATCCAACTTATCTCATTTGTTTCTTAATGTTTTGATGTCGTAGTTTTATCTAATTTAAAATCACAAAGATTTCCTCTGGTTGGTAGAGTGTTCGTGAATGCCGGTCAGGTTTTGCTGGTGTTGGGGTTGAACAGGTGCATTTTGGGTAACGCCTTTCCTTCCTCCCCAGCGGATGAGCTGATCAGCCCTAAGGACATCGATCCTATCCAGCGCTACGTCCCGCTGCAGAGCCAGCGCAATGTGAGCATGAGGTTCTCCAACCAGGTAAGGGGACCACCTGTTTCCTCGCTTGACTCCTGCCAGGAACCGGCAGCTGAACTGACGGAGGAAGTGTGTCCCGAAGGCGGTTTTTATTGCTCCTTCCGAGGGCAACGCTCTCCCTCTTCCGGGCAGTTAGGATTTACGTGTCTGTATGTCAGCTCTACTTTCATTTGATTTATTTACTTTAATTTTTAAATCCTCACCCTAGGACATGTTCAGAGAGAGGAAGGGAGGGAGAGAGGGAGGGAGGGCAGGGGGGAGAGAGAGAGGAACACTGATGTGAGAGACACACATCGAGCGTTGCCTTCTGAACCTGCCTTGACTGGGCATTGAACAGCAGCCTTTGGGTGCACAGGACAGCGGGCAGCCGGCTGAGCCACATGGGCGGGTGACTAGACTTGAATTTTAAAAATGACGTGGGGTGAAGGGCTGCCTGTGAAGGAGGAAGTGTGAGCCAGAGGTGTCCGGCGAGATGTCTTCCCGGTAAACGTCCTCTTCACAGGGTGACGGGAAGGTGTCCCGCGGGCTTGAGCAGGTGCGGGGTGCACGGGGGCAGGGGCGGGGCTGGCGGTCGCTCCGCTGCCTGCTCTTGGGCTGGGCGGAGGGTGTTTCACATTCTGTGTAGTTCTTCCTGTGGATACAGACTACGTAGTGGCCACAGAACGAACGTTTGCAGGGTCAGCAGGATTGACTGTTGGCCTGAGCAAACTCAGTGGTGAGCGGCACCGGTCACGGGGGCTGTTACAATGAGGCGCCGTGGGCTGTGGCGATGCCTGAGGGACGGGAGCGGGTCTGCGTGGCCGGGCGCAGCCAGTGGACGCTGTTGACTAGAGCAGCAAGGCCCTCTCACAGGAGTGAGGCTCACACAGTGTACAGGCCCCTCCGTTGTCTTTCCATGGGCTTTTTCCCCCTAGAGAGAGTAGAAGGGGGCGGGGGAGAGGCGGGGGGGAGAGAGAGAGAGAGAGAAACAGTGATGTGAGAGAAACGTATTATTGTTGCCTCCCGCCTGCGCCCGGATGGAGGTGGGGGATCAAACCTGCAACTGAGGTCCGTGCCCTTGACCGGGAATCAAACCCATGACCCTTTGGTCCTTTGGCCCACACAGTAACCACTGAGCCAGACTGGCCTGGGCAGCGCTCCTTTTAGTTTAAAATAGGGAATTTTTAAAATAACTTTGCTAGACCAAAATAATAACTTAATTCCATGCTGTACTAAGATCTAGCATTTTGCTGGAAAACATATAGGAATAGTGACTTTTCTATTCAGGCTATCAGAAAGTTAGTACACACATACACACACACAATCCCCATACCACCCACACACACACCCACACACACACACCCACACCCCCTCCCCCCCACACACACGTTTTAATGAGAGGAAGGGAGAGCCGACCAGACCCGTTAGATCCTGTCACACTATTTCTCTGAGCCTTTCGATCATTTCCCACAAAACATGCAAAGACCTGAGTGGTTAACAGAGCAGAAGCTGTTCGGAGGCGGTTACATAAACGCTGGCTTTCTCAGGACACAGAGCGCCGGTGTCAGTGCACAGTAGACGAGCCTCCCGGCCTGGGCCCCTCGCTCAGGCGGGGATGGGCTCTGTCTCCACTCCCCGTCCGGACAGCGCAGCGCACCTGCAGGGGTGGCGATGCAGAGGAACGGGGTGTGTGAGGGGGAGGCAGCAACCGGCGGGAGTGGGTGGGAAGGTGGGGAGAGCTGGACTCTGAGACAGGAAGGCTGATAATGTGTGGTCTGGGAGGAAGGGCACAGAACTGGCCGGAACTCGGGGGCTGGTCTGCAGACCTGAGGCCCACTGCACAGCAGCCCGGCCTGGGCTCCCACCGCCGCCCTGCAGCTCGCGCATCCTCCCATGGTTTCTGGCTGTGGAGTGTAAGTCGGGGCACTGCCGTTGTGGGCTCCCAGGACCTGGTTGCGGGTACCCTCGGAGCGATGGCGTGGACGGTGCCCGGAGCCAGGTGCGGGAGTGACGGACTCAGTGGTGGAGCCCAGCTCCCGAGGTGGGCTTGCCGCAGTCAGGGGGCAGCCGCTCCATGCAGTCGATTCCTGTGCAGCTCCTGCAGCACGGGCTTGTCCCGCGCCCTTTGTTGTTCCTGTTTCAGAGCTCCTCACGGTTTTTCGAGGTTTACGAATCTTGGGCGATTTAATGAGACTTTGCACGAGGCTCCGCTTTATTTGTTCACGTCATTCCAGTGCTCTCACATCGTTGGACCAGTTTGAGACAATTTCTACTTAAAGGATTAAAAACACACTTCACTTCATCCGCTTGGCAGAGAGAGAGTGTGCATGGGACCCAGAGCCAGGTTTCCCTGCAAAGTGGGGTCTTTAGCACTGAGCACAGGGCCGTGGTCGTTATGATGAAACAGAAGGTCACAGCCCAGGTGGCAAACACGCCTCCGGGAACCCACACTGGGGATGGGGCCAGCAACCTAGGCATGTGCCCTGACCAGAAATCGAACCCATGACCTCTGTTCCCCCCCCCAGAGGAGCTTCTCAGGCGTATCCCCATCTTTAGGGGAGAAGAGCCTCCTGCCAGTCACTGTTTACCCGGAGCCAATGGGGAGGACACGCCGGGTCAGAACTCTCCAGAACCGAGGGAGGTCAACCTGGAAGTTTAAAGCAACGTGCTGACTGCTGGCACCGTTCCGGCGGCCCCTGAGGTGATGAAGATGAGCGGCTCCAATAGCAGCGGGAGGGCGGTGACGGCTCACACGGCCATGGCCTCCCCTGGCCAGGCTGGAGCGTGGGGGGAGGGCAGGACGCCAGGCTGTGGTCCGGCGCCCAGGAGCACACGGAGCCTGTGGCTGGTGTCATTGTAACCAATGCCTCAGGCCTCCACACCCCCCCTCCGGGCCCCTCCGAGCCACTGGACGCCTGGCACCTTCCTCTGAGGGAAGTCCACTTGCTCATAAATAGAGGTCACTTGCCTGGGCTTCCTTTCTCCTCATGTTGAATCTATTGACGGGCTTAAAGGTCTGAGTCTCTGAAGAAGACCTCTCCGCTGGTCCTCACGTAACTCCCCCTTAGTCAGTGCTCCTCGTCCCAGGGCGGGCCCTCCTAAGGGGAGGCGGGGCTGTGGGGGCCCCTCCCGAGGCCCCGGAGACTCACAGGGAGTTGGATTGTCTCGTGAATAGAACACGAGTATTTTGGGCGAGTGAAGCAGCATTTCACGTCTTTGGTTTAATTATCGTGATGGAGCAGGTCAGTGGGCTGAAGCAGCCCGAGGCAGTTTGGGTTCCCGGTCATCATTTTGCAACACCCCAGCACTGAGCCTGAGAATTGCCTTTAATAGGCCAATTAGAGCGATTGAGCTGCTCTGCGGGTCTGGGAGGGAAGGCAGGTAGGAGAGGGATGCTTTTTAATCGTCAGAGCTTATTTTCCAAGCTCCAGAGCCGGGTGGAAGCCAGTATCGATCGGTAAATCACGTGCATATTTACCTCGTGGGCGCCGAGTTCCTTCTGTGGAGGACGGTGGGCGAAGGGCTCCGGGCGGGGCTCGGAGGCCGGCGCTCAGCAGGCAGGTGGTTTGTGAGGGGGGCTTGCTGAGCTCTGGGTTTTACTGTGAGAGTCCTTCAGCCCCTGCAGCCCCCCAGCCGATGCTCACGTGGTGCCTTGGGCGTGGGCACCTCAGAGCTGGTGCCCGTCTGCCAGGCAGAGGGAGAGAACAGGGTCCAAGCAGGCCTTCGAGTCCAAAGGAAACACCAGGCCATGGCTGGGAGCTGCGGTGTCCTCCTGGGACGCCCATGCCCTCCTCGCCCCTTAGGCAGGAGCCCTCACTCCCGCAGGCTCAGCGACCCCCGTCGGAGCCCACCCTCCTTCTGATGCAAATTCCAGGCTTCACCCATGAGAAATGAGGCTCCGTGTTTTGATTTCTCGTTAGAAATCTTGATGGGCCTCTGAATAATTCACTTACTTCCTCGCCCTTTGGAGTAACATGAACTGTTAAGGTTTTTATCAAATAGAAATAGAATTTATAGCCCTGGCCGGTTTGGCTCAGTGGATAGAGCGTCAGCCTGCGGACCGAAGGGTCCTGGGTTCGATTCCGGTCAAGGGCACGTACCTTGGTTGTGGGCTCCTCTCCACTGGGGTCCTGGTCAGGGATCCTGCAGGAGGCAACCAATCGACGTGCTTCTCTCACATCGATGTATCTGTCTTTCCCTCTCTCTTCCACTCTCCCTAAGAATCAATGGAAAAAATATCCCTGGGTGAGGATTAAAAAGAAAAAGAAATAGAATTTATAGATATTTATTTTTGTTGGGCTGTTATATGTTCATTTAATCACGTGGAAGTCCGCCCGAAATGGCATTGTCACTGCGATCCTGGGGGTCGTGCCTTTGGCTGCATGGGTTTTGCTGCTGATGCGCATATTCTGTGCTCCTGGCCTTCCTGCCACACACGGTCCCCCCTCAGAGCCACAGAGGCGGTCCCCGGCGGGTCGGCCGTGGGCAGCGCACTGTGAAAGTGGGTACATCCCTGTGAAGACACGGTGTGTGTCCGTGTCCTCAGAGCCGCCTACCGCGGGGGTCCCGGAGCTTCTGAGCGCTCCCTGCAGGGCACGTAGGGCTCAGGCACCAGATGGCCAGAGCCCGTCTCCGTCACTGAAACAGAAGCGCGCGCCCAGCGCTGGCCCCGAGGGGAGCCGCTGAGCCCAGCTTGTGCGGGGACACGGTGCTGACTGCAGCCCGCGGGCCGGCCCCCCATGTGGGAGCCACACCTCAGAGCACGGCTCTCGGACGCATGAGGTGCGGAGCAAGTTGCTAACGGGCCCGGGAGGAGCCGTGTGCGCGTTAAGATGTCAAAGGAGTTACTTCACTCCCCGTCACTGTCTCACAGAGAATACAATCGTTGGGTTTTCAGTTTTAGCTCCTTCTCTTCCCGCAGAGGGACGTGATGGAAAATGGCTCTCTGTCCCCAAACTGCTCTCAGGCCTCATTCCAGAGAGCCCAACAGCTCACTCCCGGGCGGTGAGCTTGATGGCTCCCGCCTGTCCCACTGTGTGAGTCAGAGGGACCAGGGGCAGCGAGAGCAGGAGGGGCGGCCCCGCAGGCAGCTCGTGCCGTCCTCTCAGTGAACCCGGAGACGTTAACGCTGCCCGGGCACCCACAGCCGCGGTGACCGGATCTTCTCAGTCGCGCCCCCTTTCTGTGTGGCAGGGCCCCCTGGAGAACGACCTGGTGGTCCACGTGGCGCTCATCGCGGAGAGCCAGCGGTATGGAGCGTGGAGGGCGGCGTGCGCTGTGGGGAGCCTGGGGGGGCGGGCGCTCGCTTTCCCCTCCTGGTGTTGAGGCAGAGGCTCCTTGCGGGCCCCTGGCAGGGTTTAGGGTGGCGTGGGCGCCCCTGTAAGTGCAGGACCACGTTCTTGTCAGTGTTAGTGACGGGAGTGTTAACCACTGTGACCAGCGCCAGTGTGGCCTGGGGTGCAGCATTGAAACATCACACAGATTAGAGGGATCCCCTCTGCCTGGCCCTTCAGCCTCCAGGTTTTCCTCAACACGTACGGGATCCAGACGCAGACGCCTCAGCAGGTGGAGCCCATTCAGATCTGGGCGCAGCAGGAGCTGGTGAAGGTGGGTGCTGGCTCCCCACCGTCGCCCTGGGAGCCCCCTTTTCCTGACTTCTGCAGACCTCGTCCCTTCAGTCACATCAGCACTGAGATGTAGATGAACGCGCAGGCAGCGCACAGATGATGTCATCTACGCACCATCCATGTCCACGTCTGCACACTGATGTGTGTGGCGTGCCTGCATCTATGGCGTTAGGGAGCTGTCCTGCTGCTGCTGGTGCTGGTTAGGGGTCACAGCATAACTCCCGCCCCTTTAACATGCACCAGCGTTGCCCAAGGGGTGGTGGGAGTTGGCGGGGCCATGTAGTTGTAGCATTTGGCTTAAACTTTAAAATAAAATTTTTGTCAGAAAAATCAGTAAGACACTCCCGCTTGGGTGGGAAGTGCTGGGAGGAGGAGGGCGCCTGTGGCCCGTGCTCTGACGTTAACTAGCGGACGTGGTGGCCCTGGGCCTCTGTCTCGTTCCCTGAGCATCGGCAGAGCCGGAAGCCGACTCTGACCGTCTGGCTCTCACATCTCGGGGCCCAGAGTCCAGTGGCCCCCGTCGGCCGGCTTGTGTGCCTCAAGCCCATGGGATAAGGTCTCCCGCGCTTTTTCTCTGGAGAGAGAAGAAAAGGAGCAGGAAATGGCGGGGGTGGGGCAGGTGCAGGGGGGAAAGCACGCTCCGCGCCGGACGCTGTTAACACGCGTGTCTTACAGGCCTACTTCCACCTGGGCGTCAACGAGAAGCTGGGGCTCTCGGGGCGGCCGGACAGGCCCATCGGCTGCCTCGGCACATCCAAGGTGCGCGGCTGCGGGGGGTGGGCGCCCAGCACCACGGGCGGGAGCGGCTGCACTTGGGCTCCTCCCTGGAGTCACTTTTAAAATTATACTTTTACTGGTTTCAGAAAGGAAGGGAGAGGGAGAGAGAGAGAAACATCAGTGATGAGAGAGAATCATGGACCGGCTGCCTCCTGCACGCCCCACACTGGGGATCGAGCCCACAACCTGGGCCTGTGCCCTGAGTGGGAATGGAACCCTGACCTGCTGAGTCATAGGTCCATGCTCAACCCCCGAGCCACACCGGTCGGGCCCGAGTCATGATTTTTTACGGCCGGTCTCCTGGTTGGATATCACAGAAGCCTTCTGGGAGGGGATGAGCGCCCCGCTCCGTTACCTCTGTTGCCCTGAGGTAGCGGGATGGTGAGGGGCTCTCTGTCGTGGTGGAGGGACGGTCATGTGCTTACTCACACCCCCAGCCAGTCAGGGGCTTTAAAACTCCTTCATGTTACGTGTTTTTTATGAGTCTGTTATTTGCCTCCTCAGATCGGACATCAGCAGTCATTGTTTCGGGGCTCTGTAGCGGTGCCTCAGCCTCGGCCGGCTCTGTGTTTATTTTGAGCTTCTCCCGCAGATTTACCGCATTCTGGGGAAGACCGTGGTGTGCTACCCCATCATCTTCGACCTGAGTGACTTCTACATGTCCCAGGACGTTCTGCTGCTGATAGACGACATAAAGGTAGCCGGGAGCACTCCCTCACCCACGGGCAGGGCTGTTCGGCCAGTTCCATCATAGGTCCTGGCTCCGACCTGTCACACTGGCGGTCAGGTGACAGGGTCTGCTCTGCTTAAGCTGGCGTGGCTGCTCGGACTCTGCGGTCCTCGGGCGCCCGCGGGTCGTCTCCTCTGGAACAAAAGCTGAGGCAGAAGCCATTCATTACGAAGAATGTCAGGGAAGACCTCCGCCAACTCGTAGCCCTGTTAGTTCAGCCTCTTCCCTTTCCCGTTTCCACTGCGGAGGGTCGTGGCGTCCGGGGCCAGGCGGCCCTTGTAAAACGTTGGCCCACCTCTCCCGGTCGCGTGGCCTGGGGCCAGGCACCTCACCCCTCGCGTCCCTGTTTGCTCATCATCGTGGCGGAGTAAGCGAGCTGCTGGGGGTCAGAGGCGCGAGTGCGTGAAGCACAGAGTGGCCGCCGCGTGAGCGCTGCCGGGCCCTGAGGGGGATGGGCACGGAGACACTGAGTCGGAGGAGAACCTCCCCAGGGCAGAAGGCCCGTGGGGTTCAGTCCAGTCTCTCCGCCTCCCGTCTCACACGCTCACGGTGGAGGTGAGCATGAGCCTGCCTCCCCTGGGGCCGTCCTTGACTGCTTATCAGGCCACACGCCAAAAACAAGCATCCTTCGTCCGTGCGTCTGTTCTCTTAGAGACAAAGTATGAAGGCAGGTGGTTCCGGTAGCTTGTGCGTGCCCTGCCGTGTGCGTGCGGGTGCTGGACTTCGGCCCTGGTCGTCTGCTCATGCCAGGGTGCCCTGGGAGTGACCTGGGCATGGAGGGCTTTGCCGGCTCGGCCAGGTGCCACCCCGCCCGCTGTCCCCACAGAACGCGCTGCAGTTCATCCGGCAGTACTGGAAGATGCACGGGCGGCCCCTCTTCCTCGTGCTCGTCCGGGAAGACAACATCAGGTGGGTGGGCGCGGGAGGTGCCGCCCGTGCCCCCCGTGCCCCTCAGGCTGGCGGCGGGGCAGGCGTGAAGGGCTCTCGGTGGGAGGTGGTCCGTTTCTCATCCTGCGTTCACATGTGCGTCTTGCTGGTCTGCTTCTATCTCTAGGGGCAGCCGGTTCAACCCCATCTTGGACATGCTGGCGGCCTTCAAGAAGGGCGTGGTCGGGGGCGTGAAGGTGCACGTGGACCGCCTGCAGGTAGCTGGTGTTCCTCCGGCACCAAGGCTGGGCTCGCACTTCATTTAGTTAGACAGTTAGTCCCGTGAGGGCGCAGGCGTTTCTCCAAGTACGTGCTGTGGGAGGCGCTGGTCTCGGGGCGTTATTCCCACCGTCTCCTGTGCCCGCGGCCATCCTGTCCCCCTGACCCTCCCCGGGCAGTGGCTCCCCAGCCCACTTGCCTATTGACTCCAATTAAACATTCCCTTTACGGGCTATTAGTACAGAAGGGGGGCCAAGCTAATAAAACATCAAAATTAATTTTCTTATGTTTTCAGTGTTAGTTACCAGCTTTGAGAATAAATGAATTCTTGACTCTTTCTTTATACCCACATCACAATCCAGTATCAAACCGGTTCTCTCCTCTCAGAACCTAGCCGTTCCCATCATCTCCAGCCCCGACACTGGTCCAAGCCACCACCATCCCCCCCGGGTCCTAACAGTCCTCTCCTAAGTTCCCATTGGCCACAGCGGCTCCCTCCTCCTGCTCTCCCCAGCCATAGGCCTCCAGCGCCTTCCCCTCACCCCGTGAAGCCGAGCCCTCTGTGTGCTGTCCACCATGAGCGGCACCCAGCGAGTCACAGGATCTCTGCCCAGACAATTTCAGCATTTCGTGTTTTCTTTGATTTCAAATTATTTTTTAGCATTTTAATAGGCAACGAATTTTATCTCAGCTTGAAAATGACCACAGCTCTGAGGGCAGAGAGAAGTACAGTTGGTGTCGTGTTGCTGTCCTTATTCACTCTGACTCGTGGGCCGCAGCTCGGTGTCGGGGCTGTGTGTGTGTGTGTGTGTGTGTTTGTGCGTGTGTGTGTGGGGGGGGGCATGTGCAAACCCGTCTGATTTTAGGACGCCCACGTAAGAAATGGCTTCAGGGTTGATACAATGTTAGGCAAACCCATTTGAAGAATGACATGGGGACAGCCAGGCGTGTGCACGGGTCACAGAGCTGGGCTTGACGAACTCATTCGCTCCGCCTTCCCGCCCTCAGACTCTGATATCGGGAGCGGTGGTGGAGCAGCTGGACTTCCTGCGCATCAGCGACGCGGAGGAGTGAGTCCCGGGGCTGGGGCACCTCCAGGTCCCATTGCAGGCGCGGGAGTCGGAAACGCTCTCTGTTGGTGTCTAGGGTTCCGGAATTTAAGAGTTTCGAGGAACTAGAGCTCCCCAAGCATTCCAAAGTCAAACGGCAGAGCAGCGCCTCCCAGGCCACCGAGCTGGAACTGCAGCCCGACGTCAGCCTGGCCGAGTGGAGGGCCCGACCCACCCAGGACATTCTGCAGAAGCTAGAGGTGAGGCGGGCCCTTCCCGGGGGCCCCGAGTGAGGCCTGGCCCCCCCGGTCACCCCTGTAATCTATCTGTGTTCCCAGGACTGCAGCGGCCTGGCCAGCCAAGTCATCCTGCTGGGCATCCTGCTCAAGAGGGAAGGCCCCAACTTCATCACAAAGGAAGGTAGGGGCGGGCGGAGACGTTTCCAGCAGCGGCCGTGCTGCCGCGAGCTTCTGCCGAACACGCGTGGCCAGTGCCCACCAGACTCACCAGTGACTCCCTTGAACTCTTTTAAACATTTCAGTGGGAAGTGCTCATGCCCGCCACCTGGCCCGGCGGGGGAGGTGTGAGCTCCTCGTGGCTCAGGGACGCGGGGTGTTTCTCTGATGGTCTGAACGGCGTTGGAGCCGGGGTTCTGCTGGGACTCTTCACCTGGTTGCTCCCGGACAGTGTCTCTTTCCAGTTTTATTTTCTGTCCGTTTTTAAGAACAACATTGAATTGTTGTAGCTATAAACACTAGCCGCCCTCTGGTCCGCGGCAGCCACATGGGCGGAACCGGCACCGGACGGGGTTGTGCTCTAAAGATGAACAGAAATAAGCCCCTTCCGTGGTGTCCGCCGCTCTGCGTTCACGGGGAACCCGTTACCCCTGGACCCGAGGTTGTGTGTGGAGTCATGTCTCTCAAGAGCCCCCGAGTTCCCCATCGGGCATTTTCCAACAGAGAACAATGCAGGATACACTTCACGTGGGTGTTGTCCAGCTACTCAGCGTTTTGGGCTCATCCGGGACATGTTGCTTTGGTTGTACCTGGAAATTGAGTCAGAATTTTAAGCATCGGTGTAATTAATAAGATTTATAGTTTTGGTAGCGAACTAAACATAATCGCTTATTCACATAAGGCGATCAGTTTTTGCATTATTGTAGCTAAGAGCTAACCTTGAGTATTATACATGCGAATTAAATACTCCCAATTTTCTTAACTAATTAAAGGCAGAAGAACTTTAGGCAAATTTCAAACAGAATCCCTCATTTCTAATTAGTATTGAAGCTATAAGTATAAGCAGAATCCCAATTATATTGAGGACATTCACTGAAATTTACACTTTAAAACAATAGGATTTCACAAAAGCAAGGATTTCATTAGGAGCCTGGACTCCAGGATGGGTATTTAGTGGTGCTTTAAAACAGAACAATATTTATATAAATAGTTTATCACGAACATGCTGAGGGAATCATTTCTTAAACCATTTTTTGTAAACGTGGGAGTAATACTCATCTTTCACTTAGATTCTGAGATGGTTTAAATCTGTAAAACCTTACGATAGAGTGAAAATCACGAGCATGTATAGAATCTGAATGTGATTTTATCCAATTAGCTACAGAGCTAGAGAAGGAAGTTCCGGGGAAAATGACGACCCTACTCTTCACCCTGTTCCTCTTGGTGCTCTGTCTCCTCACGTGGTTAATTCACTGGCAAAGCCGACATGAGGCCCGGCCACATGGGGACCGGCGCCAGAGCACGCAGGGCGTGGCGTGGGTGTGAGCAGCAGCCCATACGCCTCCATAGTTTTGCTGAACAAATAAGTGAAGAATTGTATACAGGGTGTCCCCCAAAATGTATACACACTTTGAATAATTATTCATTCCAATGGGTTAAATCTGAAAAGAAAACAATATCAATTGAGCTATCAAAAATATATATGTATACATTTTGGGGGGACATCCTATATATGCAGAGTCTCCAGCATTTGCTCAATTGGCTATGTTCTGTTTTATTTTCTGCAGTGAATTAAAATAACACCTTTATGTGTTGAAAACTTAGAGATTGCATATTAATTAAGAAAAAATTGAGACATCCAGTCCTCACTAAGTCACCTGTTCAGATGAACTAGCAGCAGGGGCAGGACCACACTGTGAATCTGGGCTGTGTGTTACCCGTGCCAGGCAGTGCGGGACGTTACGGGTGTGGGCATACCAGCGCTCGTGGAGCAAAACAAAATGGAACTGCGAGGGGCTTTGAAGCGGAGAATAAACGTGACACACTCTCTCCCCCATGTCCAGGTACCGTGTCCGATCACATCGAGAGAGTCTATAGGAAAGCTGGCAGCAAGAAGCTCTGGTTCGTATGCGTGTCCTTGTCCTGGTGTTTGTTCTGTGTGTTGTCCTAGTGAAGGGCCTGAAGATGAGGGGCTGGTCTCCAAGATGCTGTTCCCCCTCATTTCCACTGTCCAACTCCGCGGCCAGCACCGTGCCGGCCACACTCCCCGAGATTAAAGTGCCTGGGAGAGAGACTCCCCAGGAGCAGCACTTCGGGGTGTGCACGGGGGGCCTGTGCTTGACCTTGGCCCCGGGGCCCAGCAGTGCTTCCGCTCTGCTCTGTGTCAGGAGCCCTGCCCGCTGCCGCGGCGGCCGCGGGGGGGAGGCGCTCATGTCAGCGCCGGCACCAGCCATCCCCTGAGCAGGCAGTTCTCACCACTTAGACGGAATAGCTCCCAGGGCCCGCAGTGGCTTCGTGGAAAATGACTAATGTGTTCTGCAGCGGTAGTCTCTTCCCAGGGGCTGAAACAAAAATGAGGTAAGTCGAAATAAAACAGTTTAAATTCACAGCAGGGCAGTTGGCCTAAACGCACGGCTCTCTGCATTTTGAAGCAATTCTAACAGCATTACTGGCAGAATCTAACATTTTGAAAGTAAGAGTATACGTATATATTTTTTACGTGACCCATTATTTTCTAATTTGGGGGGAAAAAGTCTCAAGATATGTAAGAAACTCCCTTCACCCGAGTGAGCCTTGGGTTTCAAATCTCTGAAACCAGAGTATTGATAAGCCAGTCTCTTGGCAGCCTTCCCGCTCTGTGATGCTCACAGACATGCCCTTCCCGCCCGGGAGACATAGTGCCGTAACCTGGGGGGACCCCGTTTCTCACTGTAGACCCTCAGCACGGGCTGCGTGCGAGCTCAGAGGAGCTGCCTGACAGCCAGTGAGGGCCCGAGTGGCCATGATCTTCCTTTGGCAAAGCAGCCGGGTTTTGCTTCACTTGGCTTTTAGGTAAATGTTACCCTGGATCTTAGATAGGCCATTGGCCAGCAGACGCCGACGGTGCTGACTGTTCTGTTGAAAAGAACAGGCTCCCGGAAGTTGTATTGACTGTATTTTCCCTTTTATGGCTTCGCACTGACACACCCAGGTTGGCGGTTCGCTCCGGGGCTGCATTTACCCAGAAATTCTCCTCCTCCATAGCCCCGCACGTGACCACCATCCTGGTCCATGGGAAGCAGGTACACGCACGGCGTGGGGCCACGGCTGCCTGGCGTGTGGGCTTCCTTGCATCCGAGGGTCAAACCTCCCTGCTGGGCGAGTGTGTGGTGACAGCTTTTCTAAACGCAGGGGAGTCTGTCGCACTGATGACCAGTTACTGACTTCGCTTTTACCCTTCCCTCCGCACCGAGGTCAAGGCATGGACCTGCCTTTACAGGCCAGCTCTCACCAATACCCCGGACTTCAGGAAAACCGTTATAAACCTGCATTTTACTTTTTTTCATCTGAAAGTTCCACATGAATTTTCACTTTTGAGGGAGAAACAATTGCATGTGCTGAGCTTAAAAACAACCTGTTCTCCGGAGGCTAGGCCTTTGCAGGAATGTAAAAATAGCAGCGTGAGTTCCTTCCTCCCACACTCTGGCTTCAGCTAAGAAGAACGCTGGTCTTTCCTTGTAACGCTTCCTCACCCAGCCCGCCGCGAGTCCGGGAGCCCGGCATCCGGTCCGAGGCCCCGAAGGACACACGGTTGAAGGTGGTTTGTACCAGGAACAGATGACGGACAGGGTTAGACATCAGCCAGTCTCTCTGTGCAGTCAGGGCTCCCACCGAATCCCTCTCCGCCCCCCAGGCCCAGGCCGGTCAGGCCCCCTCTCCTCCTGGTTAAGATGATCATGGTACCGATGACAGCGGCTGGGCCGTGTTGTGGGCTCAGTGACCCCCCAGTCCACGGCGAGGCCCTGGCTGTGCGTAGGTCTGCGTCCCCCTGGCGGGGCCCGGCACGCGTCACCAGCTTGTGACCCTCTGGCTGCTCTCTTCTCGCCCCCAGGTCGGTGGTGCGCCACGCAGCGAGCCTTTTAAGTAAAGTAGTGGACAGCCTGGCCCCGTCCATTACTAATGTGTTAGTGCAGGGCAAGCAGGTAAGTGTCCTGGGGGGACCCTGCTTTCAAATCTGGCGCCCTCGGGTCCTAGGCCTTCGTAGCCGCGTTGTCAGAACCTCAGGTGCGTGCACAGGGGGGTCTTCCCCAGCATCTCCCTCAGAGAGGCCGGAACCAAAGGCAGTCGCCTCTGCTCCTGCTGCCCCGTGGGAACTCGAGGTCAGGGACGCCGCCGACACAGAACGCGGGGCACCTGCTGAAGGCAGGTCTAGCGCAGGGCAGGACAGGTGGGCAGAGACAGGTGCACAGCGCAGGCCTCCCCTACTCTCACGTGCGATTCTCTCCCCTCGGGGTACACTGACTCCCAGGCCCTGTGCCCTCGGGGCGCCCTCTCCCCCCCACCCCACCAGCTCCTGTCCACTGCCCCCCTGCCAGCTCTGGTTAGATCTGCTCTGGGTCCTCCTGGCGGGCCGGTGACCCTCCAGGCTCTGGGCCCCAGTTCACTGCAGCATGGCGCTCACCGCGGCTCGCAGG